ATTTGCAATATTTATTATAACTTTTGTTTTTTTTTTTAAAGACAATAAAGCAGTCTTACTGCGTAATTTAAGATTCTTTATTAAATGTTTACTAAATTTTACAAGTAAATTTTATTTTTATATATTTTTTATAAATTTAGTACCATTTTTTTTTAATAATTTCTTAAGTTTGTTTAAGTTTAGTTTTTACAAAAAAGCTTGTTTTTTTTTAAACTTAATGATTGTGTTTTATTAATTTTTTTTAATATATTTTTTAACTACAAACAAATGACTACTTAAACCAACTCCTTGACTTGTTTTCTCTAAATATTTGTTTTTGTTTTCCTAAATATTTTTGTAGTTTTCTGGTTCTGGTCCTTAAACCTTTATTATACTTATGGGTTATATTTTCTTAGCTAAATAGTTTTATTGGTTGTTTTTTTTTTTTTTTTTTAAGAAAAAAAATATTGTTATAAAAAAATTATTTTAATTAAATTTAAATAAAACATATATATTTTTTTTCACAAAATTATGCAAAAATTTTAGTTTTTTAAAAAAATATTTTTTTTATAGACATAAATATTTTAAAGGTGGTTTTTAGTTACTTATTTTTTTTTTTTTTTTTCTAATAGTTATAGTATGATTTTTATATACAATTTAATGAAATTTAACTATTTTGAACTTAAGTAATATGTAGAAGAAAAAAAGGCAACCATTTTACAAAATTAAAAAAGTTTATTAAGCTTTGTTCTATTCTGTTGTTGTTATTAATTATAATTTATAACTAAATAAAATTATTTTTTTATAAATTATGAAATTTTATTTATTTTGTAATTAATAAAAGTTATTCAACTCTTAATTAAAGGTCTTTGAGCTTAAATTTTTTTTTGTAGATAAAGAATAATTTTGGCAATTAATATCAAAGATTTTAAATTTAATTATTTAGAATCTAAATAGCAAGAAATTGAGTATTCAGTTAGATTCCTATTTCAAGACACGTGCATATATAATCATATATTTTGAATATCACGATTCGGGCTTTATTTCGATTTACTCATTTTATACATTAAATGCGCATCAGCTAAATTTTGTGCTAAACTCATTTTAAACAAAATTTCATTATTTTATTTTTCAAATTTATAAAATATTTATCACGATTTAATAATTTTTTAACATAGTTTTGAAATGAAATCTTAACCTAAAAAGAACCGTATTACCAACATTCATAACACAGGCCAGGATTAGTAAAATGTGTACAATTGTACTTTTTTTGATACAATTCGATCTTCAAAAGTACATTGGTACACCAATGACTGGGGTTCTATAAATCGACTTTCGAATAATCGACTTTTTGTCGAAAAAAGTCGAAGTCGATTATTTTCTTCCAAAAGAGTCGATAACTCGACTATCGTCTGTGAAAAAAGTCGAAAAGTCGACCTTGGTTATAAAAGTCGAAAAGTCGAATAAAGTCGAAAAGTCGTAAAAAATCGAAAAAAGTCGAAAAGTCGGAAAATGTCGAAAAAAGTCGAAAAACTCGAAAGTTGTAGAAAAAAGATGAAATAGTCGAAAATTTAAAAAAAGTGGAAAAAAAGTCAAAAACTCTAAAATATTCGGAAAAACTCGAAAAAAAGTCAAAAAATCGTCAGAAAATAGTCAAAAAGTCGAAAAAAATCGAAAAGTCGACTATTTATAAAATACTTATAGTCGAAAAGTCTAAAAGTCGGCTTTTAATTAAATGAAAAAAGTCGAAAAATCGTCTTTTCATAAAATACAAAAAGTCGACTTTTAACTAAATGGAAAAAGTCGAAAAGTCGACTTTTCGTTTCAACTATAGAACCCTACCAATAATAATTTGAAAATAGTTCAAAGAACTACCGACTTCGGTCAAATTTTTACTAAATTTCGGAATAGGATATTGTAAAGAATCCTATAAAGGATTATAATCAGGCAACATTTAACAAAGAGAGTACCTTTTTTAGGATTATTTACCTCTATTCTGCATTTCGATTACGTTTACGCAAAGGTATTCCAACATAAAACTGAATCGTAAGAAAAGGGAAACTTTTTTTTGGGAAACTTTTGATTTTGTGTGAGAGAGAAAGAGTAAGAAATATCAACCATCTCTTTTTCTCACACACAAAGTTCCCCAGAAAAAGTTTTCCTGTGTGAACCGGCACTAAGTTGTTGTTTATGTGGCGGAGACTTGAATCGAAATGCAGAATACCAAAGTTGTCAAACGGAGAAAATTTCGATTCGAATTGAAAAGCAGAATAGGGCCGATTGTTTAATCCGATAGCATTTCTATTCTATGAATTAGTCTTTGAACTAAGTAGTACATGGGCTATTCTAACACTAACAATAATCTAATGTCTAATCTATAGACTAGTCTATTGTCTAGTTTATAACTACTCCATCTACTATGTAGTCCATAGAGTCCATAGGCTATTAATTAAGTAGTTTAAGAACCAATCTAATGAATAAACGGTCTTATTTATTGACTAGTCTAATGAGTAATCTATAGTTTTAAATTAGACATTTAAAATGTTTCTAGGGACTATTCTATGAATTAGTGTTTGTACTAGTATAAAAACTCTATATACTAGTTTATTATCTAATTATAGAATAGTATTCCGTCTATACTATATAAAAGCCTTTTGCCTATTCAATGGACTAATGAATTTGCTTTTTAATACATAAAAATATTGATAAGATTACTGACTGAAGAAGTCGGCTTCAAATGCTTTTTCTTTATATTGATATAAATTTGCAAATATATATATATTGGGTACAATCGTACAATTTGAAAATTCCATTTGCCAACCCTGAAACAGACTAACACAATTTGAAAAAAAAAGTCGAAACTCAACTTTGGTCTCTGGGTTAAAAATTCTCTTCACCAAAAGAAAATTTTAGATGTAAATGGTAGGGTGATCGATTATTCGACATTTTCCAAAAACCGATTTTCGAATAGTTCGAATAGTTGACATTTCAAAAAAACCGGTTGATATTTTTCAAATTCAGAAAAAACCGGTTTTTCATAATAAATAAAAAAATATATGTTAATTTGAAGAAATTAATGTTTATGATTAAGTTTGATGAATAAAACATGGCCCGAAATGATTTTTAACAGTTTAACAGATTATAACTTTAGATCTAGTCGTCTGATTTACATTATTTCTTTAATATAAAAAAAAATTAGGAAAAAAGTGGACACTTCTGTTAAACATAAGGTACTATGTAATCCTAGCTTATTCTAAAGCCCTTTTAGGAAATTTTCATAGGCATTCCAACACTTCCATAATATTTCAGCGGTAAATTAATTATTGTAATTGGAATATAATCTTAAGATTAATAAAATTTTATTAAACAGTTATCAATTTTACAAATAAAATTTTTTAATTAATTAGGAAAATCAAAAAAGTTTAACCAATGGTGCTTTAGAAAAATATATCCTAGTTCCTGGACTCGAATATTTTTAAACGGGCTGTATTATTTACTTCAAAATATCATTTGAATAATCTTTGAATACAAAGCAAATAAAAGTATTCGAAACCGGTTTTTAAAAAGTGAAAAAACCGGGTTATTCGATATTCGAAAAATCAACATTTAGAAAAAACCGACACTGGTAAAGCAGAAAAAAACGGTTTTAAAACCGGTTGAAAAATCTAGTCGATCACCCTAGTAAATGGTCATATTGAAATTTGTTTTGTTAACATGGTTACTGATCATTGAGCAGTATCAGCTCACTGATAATCCAAAACTAGTCCTATATAATGCAGGCATGGAACATGTTCATATTCTTCCAGGTTTTAAAGTTATTTAAAAAAATTCGAATTCGAAACGTTACTTTTATAAATCCCCATGATTAAGAGATTATGTATAATATAAACTTTCATCATTATGGTAATTAGAATTTTGCGAGCATAAATTCGAATCTTTCAAATTAATAGTTCACTGTCAAAATCTACATTCTGCAGTAAATCAGTAAAAGACAAATCTGTAAAGAAACTCTATTTGAGAGAGTTAGTTATTGAAAATTTGTTTTAAACTTAAAAATAATAAAGTGGTCCTTCGCGCCCGTAGAGATTATTAATTTTTCTATATTATTCCAACTTTTTCCTAAAGAATACTTTTTAAGGTATATCTGTTGACGAATATACTGACTGGTCTATTGAATTGTCTGCAGACTAATCTGTCAACTAGTAGACGAATTAGTCTAGTGACTAGCCAATAGACTAATTTAGTTTATAGACCAGTTTATTGACTATAATACGATTAATTTATTAAATATTATATATAAACAAATACTTAATCCCCTCAATTAAGCAACGATCGAAAAAAGGTATTCCAACAAAAAACGAAATCGTAAGAATAAAGAAGCAATACCATTAGTATTGGGATCGGAGCTAAATTTATGTAAGCTATTATTTTAGTGACGGAGTTGCCAAACGAAGAAAATTACTTTCATGATCATTACATTCTTTCAATCGAATTGATTTCAAATCGTTCGAATTACAAAGTTCTCTCTCAATATACTTGTTTGAGAATCTAGACATAAATATGTAATGAAGAAACATTGCAGATTTTATTCGAAGTTGTTTCAATTCTGTAAATTCAAATCAATTTAGCTACAATTTTCCAAAATTGTAGTATTTAGATACCAATTTATCCACACTTCAGATATTTAAAATTTGTAAGCGAAGGTTTTTTCATTCTAATCGGAACAAGACTCCAATATAAATTATTGCTAATCATTTAATAGCCTTTCTGTTGGGAGTTATTAGTAAAGAAGAAATTTTTGAGACAGTATTTCAATTCTAAACTATTTTTATACTATCAACAGAAAAACAACATTAACTATATGTTTTTGTTCCAATTTTATGGCTCGAAGGACCAATAATATAATAAAACTTCAGTTTGATCATATTCCCCTGGAGCACTGCCCACATAACTCTACCATCAATTAAATTTATTTTAAATAAATTTTAAATAAAAACACTCTTAATATAAATCATTTTTTACAAAAAAAAAATTGAAAACAATCTTATTTATTTCGCTCGAAAAAAAAAACAAATAAATGCACACGAATCGTAGAACCTTAAATACTATTTTAAAATCTCCCAAAATAAATCTTTTAAACAAAGACAAACAGAAAGTAAGAGTTGAAAATAGGCTTGTACTTAAAGAACAAAAAAAAAATTACAATTAAAAAATACAAAAATATAACAATTTTTAAAGTTTAGCAAAATATTTTCTAATAATATTTTCTTGTTTTTGTTTTTCTAGTCATTCATTTGAGAAAAATTATTAAAAATATATTATTGATTGATGTACAAATGTAAAGCATTAATGTATATGTGTAAAGAGTAAGTGTAACTTTTTGTTGTTGTTGTTTTTTTTTTTTTAATTTAATTTACAATAATAAATAATCTATAAAAATATATGATTGTTGGAGATGTGAACCAATGAAATTTAAGGATTTTTGTGTATGTTTGCTTTTTTGTCAATTATTACAATAATTATAGAGTACAGAGAAACTTATTATATATTTTGAACAAAAAAAAAAAGATAATGGAAATAATAATGATGATAAAAATAAAATAATATTAAATAAATGATTGATTGTTTTGATTGCAAGTTGTTGTTTATGTTTTTCTTTTTGTTTTGTTCATTAATTACAGTTAATAATATTTGTTTCTTTGCATACATTCATTCAATATTTTTTTTATTTTTTAGAATTTTTTTTTAAATATAAATTATATCTCCCTTTTTTGTTTTTCTAAAATTAATTCCTTTTCTTGGTTTTTTTTTTTGTTGGTTTTTGTATATAATTTGTTGCTAAAAACTATATGTATATATATAAAATTATTTTAAATCCTAAGAAAAAACACTTTAGTTTATTATTTGACTTTTCTCTGGTGAAGACTAGAGCTACTGGTATCTGAATTTAAGATAGCTTCATTGGTTGAGATAACACCCTCCTTGAGTATGTGACCATTGGCAAAGCCATTTTGATAATGACCATTGCCATTCAATAAATGACCATTGCTTAAGGGTTTTACTTCGATTTCATCATCCAAAACAGGCTGGAAAAAAGAGAAAAAGTAAAAAAGTTAGTAAAATTATTAAATTTTAGAAAACTAGAACTAGAATTGAGGTAGTTCTAATCTGAAATAGAAATTAACTAAAACTAAAATAGAATTGAACTGGAACTAAAGTAGAACTGAACTAGAACTGAACTAGAACTGAACTAGAACTGAACTAGAACTGAACTAGAATTGAACTAGAACTGAACTAGAACTGAACTAGAACTGAACTAGAACTCGAACTAGAACTAGAACTGAACTAGAACTGAACTAGAACTGAACTAGAACTGAACTAGAACTGAACTAGAACTGAACTAAACTGAACTAGAACTGCAACTAGAACTGAACTAGAAACTGAACTAGAACGAACTAGAAACTGAACTAGAACTGAACTAGAACTGAACTAGAACTGAACTAGAACTGAACTAGAACTGACACTAGAACTGAACTAAACGAACTAGAACTGAACTAGAACTGAACTAGAACTGAACTAGAACTGAACTGAACTGAACTGAAAACTAGAACTGAACTAGAACTGACTAGAAGCTGACAGAACTGAACTAGAACTGAACTAGAACTGAACTAGAACTGAACTAGAACTGAACTAGAACTGAACTAGAACTGAACTAGAACTGACTAGAACTGAACTAGAACTGAACTAGAACTGAACTAGAACTGAACTAGAACTGAACTAGAACTGAACTAGAACTGAACTAGAACTGAACTAGAACTGAACTAGAACTGAACTAGAACTGAACTAGAACTGAACTAGAACTGAACTAGAACTGAACTAGAACTGAACTAGAACTGAACTAGAACTGAACTAGAACTGAACTAGAACTGAACTAGACTGAACGGAACTAGAACTGAACTAGAACTGAACTAGAACTGAACTAGAACTGAACTAGAACTGAACTAGAACTGAACTAGAACTGAACTAGAACTGAACTAGAACTGAACTAGAACTGAACTAGAACTGAACTAGAACTGAACTAGAACTGAACTAGAACTGAACTAGAACTGAACTAGAACTGAACTAGAACTGAACTAGAACTGAACTAGAACTGAACTAGAACTGAACTAGAACTGAACTAGAACTGAACTAGAACTGAACTAGAACTGAACTAGAACTGAACTAGAACTGAACTAGAACTGAACTAGAACTGAACTAGAACTGAACTAGAACTGAACTAGAACTGAACTAGAACTGAACTAGAACTGAACTAGAACTGAACTAGAACTGAACTAGAACTGAACTAGAACTGAACTAGAACTGAACTAACTGAACTAGAACTGAACTAGAACTGAACTAGAACTGAACTAGAACTGAACTAGAACTGAACTAGAACTGAACTAGAACTCAGCTTATTTCGGATAAAGTCGAATAAAAAGTTGATTTTGTCTACATTCAAATAATACTAATGCCATTTGTATGTGAAATATTTTAAAAAATCTCCGTTTCCTCTTGAAAATTCTATTTTTAGCTTTGTTAAACATTAAAATGTATTTTGATTCCCATCTTTTGTTGACTTATGATAATTTTGACATATTTTTATTAATAAAAATTTAACTCTCAATATGATTCAAATTGCGGTCTGCAATCACATTAACAACAAAAGTACTCATTATAATTCATGTAAAACAAATAAAGCCTCTAAAAGACTGACGAAAACCTCTAGTTTCAGAAAAAAATACACTTCAGTTCAATTTAAAGAAAGAGGAAAAAAACTATAAATTCTTACAAAATATGAAGTGGTTTTGTTTTAACCACAAAATGGTTATATAAATAAAAATTGACGTAATATTGTCAACCACAAACTAGTTAATAATAAACCCTGGAATATAGCCTACTCTACACACATGAATTTACATATGAATTTTAGGCAAAATACTGGTCATTAACATTCAGACGTTAAGGGTTTGTATTAACTATAATGAAATAAAATGAAAACAAATATTTGTGTTAAAAATTATTATTATCAACGACGACTAAACATTAAATATTATTTGAAATTAACACAAATATATTCATATACACACACCTAAAATAATAAACTATTAAATGAACAACAATTGTGTCGGTCTTTGCCTAGAGGAAATAGGTGTAGCTAAGGCTAAGGAGAGAAAGGGTTAGAAAAATAAAATTCTAAAAGTTCTTACTTGAACTTAAGTCCGGTTTAACACTAAAGTGTTAATTAAATATAATTAAATATATAAACAAATAGATAACAACATTTTTGCTCTCTGTCTCTTTCTCGCTTTAAATATTAATGATATTTGCTAATATCAGCATATGCAAACGTTTTATAAACATTTATTTGCATAAAAATTTAAAGTTTAGAATTCGTAAGGTTTTTTAATTTATTATTAGTGGAAATGTTGACATTGATTTTAAAAAGACCCAAAGTCCTAAAAGGTATTATGTGCATAAAAATCAATATTTAAACTGAAATGCAATTTGTTTTGTATGCAAAAAAAAAAAACAAAAATAATTTCTATTTGCTATTAATTAATTTTTCCAACCTTTTAAATTCTTAAGTTAACTTTAGCAAATATTTGTATCAGGCTAAAGGTTTAGTACCTACTACACTGTGTGGACATTTTTTAAATATTGTAAAATTAATTGTAAACAATGTTATTCAAATTATATATTCCGCAATTAATTGCAAGTAATGTTTTTCAATAAAAAAAGAAAACAAATTTAAGTAAAATTTAAAAGAATAAATTGAAATGTTATAAACTTTGTAAGCCTTTCTTTGTACTTATTTGTTATGTTAATTATTTGTAAATAATGTCAATGTTCTAAAAACAAGGGTTTTTAAAATGCTGTTGTATTATGCAATACTTTGCAATGTTTACAACTAAGGTATAGCATATTTTGCATATTTCGAATTAATTAATTTTAAAAGAAATTAACAAATTGTATTTGAAACTTTTTGCTTTACAATTGTTTTAATGTAAACAAATAATGTCATTGCCCTCTTTTACGTCAAGTTTTATTAGAACTTTGAACTAGTTTGCATTTGTCATTGTATAGAAAATTCGAAGTAAAGTTCGATAAAATATCGAAAACTAAAAGTATCGATATCTAAAAGTATAATTTTAGTTTTATTTGAAGTTTCAAATTTCGTTTTTTTTTTTTTGAATTTTCGAAAATTCGAACTAAAGTTCGAAAAAATTTTAAAATTTCTAAAATAATCTTGAATCAGATTGATTTATAAAAATAAAAAATTTTTAAGTTCGAAAAAATTTAAAAATTTTAAAATAATCTTTGAATTAGATTGATTTATAAAAATAAAAAAATTTGAATTAATTCAAAACTGATTTCATGATTTCGAAAAAAATTTCTTACTTTTTTATTTTTCGAAAATACGAAATTATATTCGAAAAATGTTTAAAACTATTAAAATAATGTCTAAATCATGAAAATTTATAAAAGCGATCAAATTATATAAATTTGAAAATTCGAACTTAAGTTCGAAAATTTTTTAAACTTATGTTTGAATTTTCGCAAATCTAAAAAAAAAACATAAAAATATTACAATTCTTTTAAAATCATGAAAATTTAAAATATTTATCGAAATTTGAAAAATTGCCCTCAAATTTAAAAATTATTTAACATTTTGAAAAATTTTCCAACATAAGTTCGAATTTTCGAAAATTGAAAAAAAAATCATGGAAATTTTTTTCAAATGAGAATTTTAAAATTGAGTTCGAGTTTTGTTTTTCAAACATAATATTGCCTTAACATTATTGTCATTTCAAAATAAAAACTATTTGACTAAGAAGTTACAACAAAAAAGAAAGAAATCCATTATTTATCTAAAATTTGCAAAAAAACTTTCCATTTGCGACCATAAACCTCAATCTTAATTTGAAAATGTTTGCAAAATAATCTTAATTTTAATCGCAAAACTCACATTTAAGGAAAAGTTTTGTCATTAAAACAAGAACTTCAAACAAATTCAAGAATAATTTGGAAATGTTCTATTTGCTAAAAGCATATTAATTGCTTAATTAACTTTTAATCTTCTACTTACCATACAAGCTCCTTTATTGCTATTACCATTGGCATAAATTACATCACCATTTGTATATAATTTACCATTGCCATTGGCCATAAGATGTTCTTTCTCCGATTCGGATATTGTCGATGATTTAATATGACCATTGGCCGTGCTGCTGGCTTTAACTTTTTGAGCGCCCTTTGTATATTTGGCTTTATAAAAGTCTGAGAACAAAAATAGGAACATAACGCCATGTAAACCGATCCAAACCATAAAACCTTTAGGATAATCACATTCACGGAACAACAATTGGAATTGATGAGTGAAAATGGCGACAAATTGAACCTGTAAAACGGAACAAAATATAGAAACAATAAAGCATAAATGATAATTTAGGTGCTAATTTCTGTGATTTTAGAAAAACTATAAAGATTTCATTTAAAATTTTAGTTTACTTCGTTAACTTGCTTTAGACTCTTTGTCCATTGCTTTAGATAACTTACCATTTGGAAAGAAGTTAAATACTTCTTCCACCAGATGTATTTTTGGTATTTTGGTCCCATAGCAGCAATCATATAATAGAAATACATTACAATATGTACAAATGAGTTTAATAAGGCAAAGAAGGTACTGTGGCCGCCTGTAATTAAAATAGAGAAATATTAGTTGCAGTCTTAAGTTTACAATATTTGCAAGGTTAATTTACTATAAAAAGTGATTTTCCTATTAAAACTTTCAATTAATTTTAATAATTACCTGGTGCAAATTTCATGCCCATCCAGACAGAGAAGGGCATGCAACCGTGATGAATGACATGCAGTGTTGAGACATGTTGTGTTTTCTTACGCAATATGAAAAATAGTGTGTCGAAAAATTCTGTGAATTTTGAAATGTAATACCACCAACAAACGCGTGCCATCTGGAAGAAAAGTATCAAAATAAAAGCAATTGATTAAATTATGTTTAATTTATTTAAATAAAAACACTTTCAAGAAAGGAAATAAAGAAATTATAAATTCGTTAAAAACAAAACTTTAAATGAAATTTAGCTTTAATGGAAACAAACAATAATGTTGCCTTGACCAACTATTAAATAGGTTTTTTATAGAGGAAAAAAAGAACTGAGAACTTTGGAGCTAGATGTTATGTTTTAGTACTAATCAGGCGTGGAAAATTGAAATTTTGAAATAGTACTAACTTATAACAAATAAAGTACTCTTTTAGGTTTTTAAGTACTAAGACTAAATACAGACTATAGAATAGACTATAAAATAGACTATAGACTAGACTAGAGTATAGAATAGACTATAGGCTAGACTATAGACTTAACTATAGACTAGACTATATACTAGACTATAGACTAGACTATAGACTAGACTATAGACTCGACTATAGACTAGACTGTATACTAAACTATAGACTAGACTATAGACTAGACTATAGACTAGACTATAGACTAGACTATAGACTAGACTATAGACTAGATATAAACTTGACTATAGACTAGACTATAGACTAGACTATAGACTAGACTATAGACTAGACTATAGACTAGACTATAGACTAGACTATAGACTAGACTATAGACTAGACTATAGACTAGACTATAGACTAGACTATAGACTAGACTATAGACTAGACTATAGACTAGACTATAGACTAGACTATAGTCTAGACTATAGACTAGACTATAGCCTAGATATAAACTTGACTATAGACTAGACTACAGACTAGACTATAGACTAGACTATAGACTAGACTATAGACTAGACTATAGACTTGACTATAGACTTGACTATAGACTTGACTATAGACTAGACTATAGACTAGACTATAGACTAGACTATAGACTGGACTATAGACTAGACTATAGACTAGACTATAGACTAGACTATAGACTAGACTATAGACTAGACTATAGACTAGACTATAGACTAGACTATAGACTAGATTATAGACTAGACTATAGACTAGACTATAGACTAGACTATAGACTAGACTATAGACTAGACTATAGACTAGACTATAGACTAGACTATAGACTAGACTATAGACTAGACTATAGACTAGACTATAGACTAGACTATAGACTAGACTATAGACTAGACTATAGACTAGACTATAGACTAGACTATAGACGAGACTATAGACTAGACTATAGACGAGACTATAGACTAGACTATAGACAGACTATAGACAGACTATAGACAGACTATAGACTAGACTATAGACTAGACTATAGACTAGACTATAGACTAGACTATAGACTAGACTATAGACTAGACTATAGACTAGACTATAGACTAGACTATAGACTAGACTATAGACTAGACTATAGACTAGACTATAGACTAGACTATAGACTAGACTATAGACTAGACTATAGACTAGACTATAGACTAGACTATAGACTAGACTATAGACTAGACTATAGACTAGACTATAGACTAGACTATAGACTAGACTATAGACTAGACTATAGACTAGACTATAGACTAGACTATAGACTAGACTATAGACTAGACTTATAGACTAGACTATAGACTAGACTATAGACTAGACTATAGACTAGACTATAGGACTAGACTATAGACTAGACTATAGACTAGACTATAGACTAGACTATAGACTAGACTATAGACTAGACTATAAACTTGACTATAGACTAGACTATAGACTAGATTATAGACTAGAGTATAGACTACACTATAGATTAGACTATGGACTAGACTATAGACTAGACTATGGACTAGACTAGACTATAGACTAGACTATGGACTAGACTATAGACTAGACTATAGACTAGACTATAGACTAGACTATAGACTAGACTATAGACTAGACTATAGACTAGACTATAAACTAGACTATAGACTAGACTAGGCAAATTTTTACATGTCTCCTAATGTTTACGAGTTCGTTTAAAACAATTCGCAGAAATATCCCTCCTAAGTTCGAAAAACGTATAGTAAGCATCCAAGTGGATAAACTGATTTAAAATTCTGTCACTTGTTTAAACAATTCAATTATTTATAAAATTAAATAAATCTTTTTTTACATTTCCTTCTCTTTTCTTTCAGGTTCATTGCCACTTTTATCATCTATAACATCGTGAACAAGGGGAACTTTTTTCCCACTCTTTGATAATAAACAAAATGCAAAACATTTTTTGAAATATTTCTCACTAAATGTTAGCAATTGTAAATCTTTTAAAAGCAATTTAAAAGCAAACAAAACATAACAAATTTATTTACAATTTATCATGACAATTTTATGATGTTCAAGTAAATAAACATAAAAAAAGAGTTTTAAAAATTAAATTCACACAAAAAACGTGAGTTGAAATGAAAAGAAAATTGTGTGATTTAAATAAAAGATCAGTTAAGTTAAGATATAATAAAAATAACAAAATGAAACTTACTCTTAAGGCTAAAGGATTATTACTATAATCAACTGGTTGACATCTAAAATTATAATGACCCCACCAGCCGCTCATTAAATACTAAAAAAAGATATAAAATTAAAAATTTAATTAGTAAAAAGGCAAATTTTTAAATATAAAAATAAAAATAAATTTACCTCATAAAATATCCACGCACTAAATATGGTTTGAAATAGATTGTACCAAACTAGTATTTGTCTTAAATCCAAGGCCTTACGTTTGGCCATTAACTTTGGTCCTAAAGATTTACTAAAATAAGCGTAAAATACACATAATAAAAATGTGGGTACAGGTGATGACATCATAAACCAATCTTTGACACGAGGATCTGGAATTAAAAGGAAAAAAATTAATGAATGAATTTCATTTAAAGATAATTTGAGTTTGGTGTAATAAGTTATATGTATAAATTTAAAGTTTATAAATGTTAATTTTAGTTTTGTAATAACAAAATTTTGTAATGTTGATTCCCAGATTGTATAATATGTCAAACCTTATTAGAATAAATTAAAGTTTTGTCGTAAATTTTTTTTCTGTTCAAAAGGTGTAAAACTTTGAAATATTTATGCCATTTTCAAAAATGCAAAATTTATTTAAATTAACATAAATTATGAAACTCATTAATATTTATATGTTGTACTTTAGCTGAACAGCTAAGCGACTGTTTGTCTACCTTTTTTCAATGAAGATGTGAAATTGCTAAATTGTTTGGCACTTTCTATAAACTTAGTTTGAAGTTTAATATAAACAGAAGAACTAATTCTTTAGCGATCATGAATGAAATCTTTGGGTTTCCGAATGGATGTATACCTTGGGTTATATAACCCTTTTGTTATTTATTTAGTTCGATTCCCATTTGAGGCGCACAGCAGACCCGATAGAGGCCTAGGAGTATTTCCTTCTATTAAACTTTATAATTGTTTTTATAACAAATTACTTCCAAACATTTTTATAAACTTATTAGACCTTCTTAATATGTTGTAGGGCGCATTAATACTACCATTTATAGATTAACCGTCACCTAATTATGTTTATTAATTTTGTTGCCAAAAAAGGGTCTAAAGTATTTAAACAAAAGTGAAAGTAATGTACAAACATTCCCGTTAAAATGTTTGGCTTTATAACAAAAAAATATTCAAATTTCGATGTTTTTAATTAAAAATTTAATTTTTATTAAAATTTCAGAATTAAAACTTGTTAAATCGGTGTTATATACAAACATATACATATTTAAAAAAAAATTTTCTTGATGAAAATATAATTTTCACTAAAAATTCAATATTTCACAAGAAAACAAAATCCGACCGAAGCCTTTCAAAAATTAACTGATTATTTAATAAAAACCGATCTTGCACTAGATATCAGACTTTTTAATAAAGCTAAATTCAATGAATCAATATTCTCCACCTTCCATGCATGCAGATTATAATCCAAAAGTAACTTATTTATAGAAATGCTATTTCCACTATATCTGTTTGATAGAAAACTATTATTTTAATACAAACCGATCTAGCACCAAAAAGTAGATTTTTCATAAGAAATCCAATCGTGCAATAGAATACTCGACCTTTCATGCGTGCAGATTATAATCCGACCGAAACCTATGTATAAAAAACCGATTTCTACAATATCTGTTTGATCTTCAAGATAGAAAACTATTTTTTTTTAATAAAGTCCAATCTTTAACACCAATTTTTAACACAAACCCAATCTTGCAATAGAAAACTTGACCTACATGAAGATTATATGACCGAAACCTATATACAGAAGCCCGAAATTTCTACTATATCTGTTTGATCTTTGATCAAGAACGCCAAATTTGTAAATGATTAATCATTAGCAAATAAGCATTCAATAGAAATTAATAGAATGTAAATAAAATTCCAAGAAATCCTATCAAATGATCAAAGCTAGAAAAACGATCTTACTTCTGAAAGCAAATGTTAAAAAGAAGAGTGATTTTGGATAGGATCAAAAGCCAATGAACATTCAATAATGACCATGAAATATATAAAATTAAAATCTAAACCTGTCAAATAGATCGCAGCATGAAAATCGATATTTTAATAAAAAGCGATTTTGGATGAGAAAATACATATTCAGAAGAAACACGATGTGACAATAAAATACTGGGAGATTCATTAAAAAACTGTTCTTTTAAAAGGACTTAATAATATGTAAGCTTAAAGTCTATTTTGAAAACTATTTTGAATCAGAAAATACTTATTCTAGAAGAAACAAAGACACATATTTATAAAACCCAATTTTCACAATATATGTTTGATGTTGAAGATAGAAAACTATTTTTTTTAATAAAAACCAATCTTGCAACAAAAAAGAAAAATCTTTAACAAAAACCCAATCTTGCAATAGAAAACTCGACCTACATGAAGATTATATGACCGAAACCTATATACAGAAACCCGAGATTTCTACTATATCTGTTTGATCTTTGATCAATAACGTCAATTTTGTTAATGATCAATCATTAGCAAATAATCATACAATAGAAATCAATGAAATTGAAATTCAACCAAATTCTGTCAAAAGATCTAATCTAGAAAAACGATCTTAATCCAGAATGTAGATGTAAAAAAGAACAACGATTTTGAAAGAATCAATTACTAAAATCTAAATCTGTCAAAAGATTGCAGCTTGAAAATCGATCTGTTAATAAAAACCGACATTTAGAAGAAACACGATCTGGCAATAGAATACTGGGAGATTTTTTAGAGAACTGAACCTTTAAAAGGACTTAATTATAGTATGTAACCGTTAAAAGATCCAGCTTAAAGTCGATCGTTCAATAAAAAACCGATATTGGATCAGAAAATACATATTTAGAAGAAACATAATCTGGCAAAAGGATACTGGAATCTTTAATAGAAAATCGATCTTTTGATAGGACTAGAAATGATATGTAAAAAGTAGTAAAAACGATTTTTACTATAAAACCAATCTTTCATATAAAAAACTTAACTATAAATCAACTGAATCAAGACATTTCAGTTAACAGAAAGCTGAACTTTTAATGAAAACCAAACTATGTACTTAGTAAAAGCTTTTTTAAAAGCTTAAGAAACGATCTTACAATTCTCTAGGATATATATATATATCATTAAATAAAAACCTAATCTGAATTCATGATTGGAATTCCAGCGAAAACTATTAATTAGAGCAGAAATTTTGCAATCGAATACTGATAATTTTCTCTAGAATATAGATCACCAATAAGGATGTCAATCGGGACTGGTTTTTAGAAATCCCGGGATTCGGGATTTTTAAATAAATCCCGGAATCCCGATATCGGGATCCCGGGATTTTCGGGATTTCTAAATCCCGAAAAATATAAAAAAAATTCAAAAAATCTTAATAATTTACCGACAAAAATAAAATGTTTTATTTCATATTGCAATATGAATACTCCTAGTAGGTGTTTACTTTCCAATAAGCATTTTGTGAAAAGAAAAACAAATTAATTCAAAGTACATACTTAGAATAAAAATCTTTCCATCCCAGGCACTGAATAGTAGAATAAAAACCTGAAATAATACCCATGATATCCAAATTTACAATGGTTTCCAAATAATATTTAAATAGTATGTATAATGGAGATCCATACGAGGCTACATAGAGCACCTGTACTGCACCTATATCTCCTCCACCTTATATCCCGTGTTCACTAACCAATGGAATTATCTTCTCGCCATCTTATTGACAGGTTGACTTCCATTATAGATATCCGATAGTATCAATGCCTATTTATTGCCCTTTTTATACCCTTAGTAGGGATGGTATATTGGGTTTCTCCGGAGTAGTGCTTTTGTTTTATACTGTCCTAAAATACGCTGATGAAATTTGAAATGATCGGGCTTTTGATCCGAGCCCCCATACAAAACACAGCTTTAAAAAAGAATTAGTGTCCACAATTCGCTTAAAAAGAGAACGCAATGAAATTCAGCATAAAACATTTTATGTAACCGTAAATTCGCCCTCCAAATTTTATGAGGATCGACTCATATGATGGCGTCCTTCCCCCAAGCATATTTCAGAAAAATAGTTTTTTAACAATAAAGTGCTAGGATATATCGGAGGCGAGGTATACTTTTATTATGAAAACTAAATTACATTTTACTCTCATAACTGGTGTATGGGGTTATATGGTCGGCCTCGCCCGCCTATAATTTCGTACTTGTTATTTTTATATATCCGATAGTATCTATGCCTATTTAGTATAGCAATGAAATTTGATATTCGTAAATCCCTGACGAGCCAAAACCTCTCTACCAAATTTTATGTGGGTCGGTTCATATTTGACCCTACCCCCATATAAGGTCCCGTTAAAAAAATGACTTTAACGCTCATTACTGGCTTAAAAATACGGGTATAGCGATGAAATTCGATACACATATGTTTCATGCGAGCCAAAATCTCTCTACCAAGTTTTATGTGTTTCGGTTCATAATTGACCCTACCCCTACATAAGGTCCCATCCAGATAAATACTTTAACGCTCATTACTGGCTTACAAGTACGAGTGTAGAGATGAAATTTGAGATAAGTAAGTTTCTTACTCGCCAAAAGCTAAGAAACTTTTATAGGAACGTAAATCTTCCTACCGGAAAGTGTATGAACCAAAATTGGTCTAAAAAAATTATGAAAAATTTTATAAAAACGGTCAATGATTCACCCTACCTCTCATATAAGGTCCTATCAGTAAATTTGATGAGTAATATCACCCTGATGTTTATAGAAAAGCATATTCGGCATAGCCGAATATAGCACTCTTACTTTTTTTTGATATTTCAGCTTGTAAGTTAGTAGAGTCATCTTAAGTCCAAAAACTTTTTAAATTCTCTTATTTAGTACTTTATAATGTATAAAATAGCGGAAAAATACTTAAAAATTCGGGATTTTAAAATCCCGAAATTTCCCGGGATTTCATTTTTTAAAATCCTGGTTTTCGGTACTTTCAAATCCCGAAAATCCCGGGATTTTCGGGAATCGGGAATTCCCGTTTGGCATCCCTAATCACCAATCATTTAGAGGAATGTATATTATATTCCAACTGAAACGTAGACTTGTTAAAAGGTAATATTTCGTTCAATTCAAAATTAAATGCTTTTGGTAAATAAAAACCGATTTTGCAGAAAACTGATCTCTTATAAGGAAAAATACCTTTTTAAGGAAAAGGCTTTTGCAAATACAATAATCTAATTGAAAATTGCTAAAACAATTAATAATAATGTTTATACAATGTTAATAAAGATCATTACTTTAGCAGCAAGAGATTCTTAAGAATTTCAAATAAATTACAATATAAATGAATTTAAAAGATAAAAAAAATTGTTACTATAAGTTGCATAATGTTCTACATGTTAACAGTTATTTAATTACTAGTTATACTGGTTATATAAACTGCGGGTAGAAGTTATTTATTGCTAGAATTATTACATTAAAGATTTAATTAGAAATTAATTACAAATTCAATTAATTTATAAACGTAAGTAAGATTTGAGTTATAAAATTTTTAAAGCAAATTGTTTGGAAAAATAAAATAAAGAGTAATTACCTTACTTACTACAAGTTAGTAAAGCAATTATTAAAACAATGTATAAAATAAATCTAAAAACTATATAATTAAAGTTCCTGGATTTTCAGTTTAATATACATACAATTAATTTAATTATTTAAAAAAATTCCACTTACCACTTTTGTTGTCCATGAGATCCCTGTACCAGTCATACATATCGTGTAAGATTATGAGAGCCATTTTTAATTTGTTTTTATAAAAACTGCAATAAAAAAATAGGAAATAAATAAAATAATTAATCCTTGTTAAAAAAAAAAAAAAAAAAACATAATAAAAATACAATAAAAATTTAATTTTTAAATTAAGAAAACAAGAAATTACATTTACTAGTAAATCTATAAAGCAGAAATTAAAAAAAAAATCTTCCAGACTTCCGTGGAAAGTAATTGTAAATAAACTTTAGAATAATTTTAAACGAAATCATAAACAAGTATTGTCTGTCTTGCGACGTCAGACACGTTCATTAACACTACAAAAATTTATTTTCAATCAAATTATTGTGTAAAAAGTATTAAAATACAAATTTACGTATATTAAATATTCAAGTTAATTTCCACTGTCGAATTGTTGTCTTTTTAAAATTATTTATTCTTTTTGTTTTAAAAAATAAGAAATTCTTCCGCTTATTAGGCAAAAATCATTAATAATGTATGGAGAAAAGATAAGAACAAGTTTAAAATAATGTTTCGCCAGTATTTAGGAATGCACTTTAGTGCAAGGTAATTATTTAAATGTGTGAATAGAGAATCAATTAATATTAATTGGTTATTTTTTAATAACCTTAGTCAGGTGTTGGATTTTAATTATCTTGTTCTAAAAAGACAATTTTAATTAATAAATATCCCAGTAATTACAAAGTAATTCTTAAACCTTTTGTGATCTTGTCATTATTATTTTAAAATCATACAATTAAGAAAAAATAGTTGAAACGTTTTTCTCAAACTTAATTCAAACCTTGATAGGGAATATACATTTTAAAATTTCTTCATCTTATTATTTGCGAATACATATCGTACAATAGAATACTGACTTTCATTAGAACCTTTAACTTATCTTTTAATAGAATGATCTTTTAATAACTGATCTTTTAATAGAAAACAATCTATCAATAGACATCAATGAAATGCAACCAAAACTTGTCAAAAGGACAAAGCTAGAAAATTGCTCTTTCAACGTAATCTGATCTTAAAACAGAAATAGATCTTTCCATTAGAACATCTAATATATCTCTTAATAGAACTTAATGAAAAGGATATAAAAATTCGACCAATAACTATCAACATACATATATATAATTTATTTATAAAAAACGATCTTTCCCCAGAAAAAAACCGAGAATAAATCCTCCGATGTCTGCCGAAACTACAAAATCAATAAAAACCGATCTTACACAAGAAGAAAACGATTTTTCACTAGGAAACAAAGGAGTGCAATTTTCAAATTAAAATCTAACCGAAACCTGTCGAAAGATCGAATATAGAAAACCCATCATTTTATATAAAACGATCAAAGCAACACGATCATACAAAAGAATACTGATCTTTCATTTGAACCTTTAACAGATCTTTAAATAGAACTTAATGAAAGAAATACAGATTATAAACTGACCGAAGGCTATCAGAAGAGGCACGATTTAAGCTATTAAAGCGATCTTTGCAAGCGAGTCTGGCAAATTGAAAATTAAAACATAAACGAAACTTATCGATGACAGAACATCGATCTTTCAATAAAAATCGATCATGCAGCAAAAAAAATCGTTTTATCAGGAGAAACCCGATCGTGCATCATCCATTAGAATCTTTAAACGATCTTTTATTAAAACCGATTCGTCATAAGACAAGAGTATTGCACCTATTTTCAAGGATTTTTAGATGAACAACGACTCTGCAGTAGTTTAATCAACTTAAAATCCCACCAAAATCTGCCAAAAGATCGAGATTAGAAAATCGATCTCCGAAAACCGAAACCGAAAAAATAGATATTTCAAAAGCGACCCAATCATTTGATGAAATCAAACGTTAATATTTCATATATTATTTTTAACTTAATTTAATAGAAAAGTTACTTTCAAATTTAAAACGTTTTAGAATTAAGTTCTTTGCAAAATCCCAGAATAAACAGGTAGGTTTACTGGATTAAACTAAATTTTTCCAAAAATGAATAGCATAATTAAACTATAGTCTAGACGGTTTTCTAAATATAGTAAATAAATATTAATGGTTTTAAATTTTTCGTCACAATTTCAAAATTCGATTTTATTAATTAATTTCAATAGAACGATTAATATTAAGACCAAATATGTTAATAACTAGTTAATGTTAAAAAAAACATCTGTCTGTTATGCAAAATATGACATTTATTTCTGGCAATTTTTGGGAATATTAAATAAGATTTTTTTTATATGCATTAATTTCTGTCAAATAAAGAACTTTTGACTTGAAAATAAAAAGAAGAACTTTGAATAAATATTCCCCAAATTTTATATTACTAATGATGTGACAATAACTAACAGTTAGCAACAAAGCAATGTATTTGTTTGTCTGCTTTGTTTTTTTCATGTGATTATTTATATTTAACTAAATTATACAAACTATGAATTTCATATCTAATTGTCTACATCTGACAATTATGTCATATTTCTAAGGTAAATATTTCATTTTATCATTAAAAATCATAACAAATCAATTTAAAATACATGTTGCCAAATGTTAATAATTTTAAATTTTAATAAAATTAACTATTTCAAATTACTATTTAAAGCAAAAATAGCATATCATTGCCATTTTGAACTCTCATAACATAAAAACATTAACATTTTTTATTTTGCACATCCACATTAAAAAAAAAAACCAAGTAACAAGTTTATTATTTTACACTTTTTTGTGCACAGACATACTTTTTAGGTCATGACTTCTTTGTTGTTAATAGGGAGGGTAATTAAGAAGACCCATATAAAATTTGAAAACAAAAATAAAATCTTCAAAAATTTTTCACATGTGCACACATATTTACTTGAATGGTGATTTTTAGTGTTTTATTTAAAACAAAAAAATTAATAAATTTTGGCAAATAAATAACAAATTGTTGCGTTATTTTTAGCAATAATTTGCATAATTAAATAATACATAAATAAATAAATTAGTTTATGTTTTTTTAAACATTCCCTCAAGCAATTTTGACCCAGTTGTTAGGTGATACAACAAATAGATAAATTTATGACACTTTACACAATATTATGTGGAAATTTGACTTGTAAATATTTATAGTCTTAAATACAATTTCTGTTTAAATCGTTTCTAATTACTATCCCATCAAAAACTTATTATAAAAAGTAAGGAGTTAAAATTCTAACAAAAAAATTAATTAGACTATAGACTAGACCACAGACTGTAGACTAGATTATAGACTTGACTATAGACTAGACTATACACAATAATATAAACTAGACTATAGACTAGACTATAGACAAGACTATATACTAGTCTATAAATTAGACTACAGACTAGACTATAGACTTGACTATAGACAAGCCTACAGACTCGACTATAGACAAAACTATAAACCAGTCTATAGATTAGACTAGACTATTAGACTAGACTATAGACTAGACTAGACTATAGACTAGACTAGACTAGACTATAGACTAGACTAGACTATAGACTAGACTAGACTATAGACTTGACTAGACTATAGACTAGACTATAGACTAGACTATAGACTAGACTATAGACTAGACTATAGACTAGACTATAGACTAGACTATAGACTAGACTATAGACTAGACTATAGACTAGACTATAGACTAGACTATAGACTAGACTATAGACTAGACTATAGACTAGACTATAGACTAGACTATAGACTAGACTATAGACTAGACTATAGACTAGACTATAGACTAGACTATAGACTAGACTATAGACTAGACTATAGACTAGACTATAGACTAGACTATAGACTAGACTATAGACTAGACTATAGACTAGACTATAGACTAGACTATAGACTAGACTATAGACTAGACTATAGACTAGACTATAGACTAGACTATAGACTAGACTATAGACTAGACTATAGACTAGACTATAGACTAGACTATAGACTAGACTATAGACTAGACTATAGACTAGACTATAGACTAGACTATCTAGACTATAGACTAGACTATAGACTAGACTATAGACTAGACTATAGACTAGACTATAGACTAGACTATAGACTAGACTATAGACTAGACATAGACTAGACTATAGACTAGACTATAAACTAGACTATAGACTAGACTATAGTCTAGACTATAGACTAGACTATAGTCTAGACTATAGACTAGACTATAGACTAGACTATAGACTAGACTATAGACTAGACTATAGACTAGACTATAGACTAGACTGTAGACTAGACTATAGACTAGACTATAGACTAGACTATAGACTAGACTATAGACTAGACTATAGACTAGACTATAGACTAGACTATAGACTAGACTATAGACTAGACTATAGACTAGACTATAGACTAGACTATAGACTAGACTATAGACTAGACTATAGACTAGACTATAGACTAGACTATAGACTAGACTATAGACTAGACTATAGACTAGACTATAGACTAGACTATAGACTAGACTATAGACTAGACTATAGACTAGACTATAGACTAGACTATAGACTAGACTATAGACTAGACTATAGACTAGACTATAGACTAGACTATAGACTAGACTGACTAGACTATAGACTATAGACTAGACTATAGACTATAGACTAGACTAGACTATAGACTAGACTATAGACTAGACTATAGAGACTAGACTATAGACTAGACTATAGACTAGACTATAGACTAGACTATAGACTAGACTATAGACTAGACTATAGACTAGACTATAGACTAGGACTATAGACTAGACTATAGACTAGACTATAGACTAGACTATAGACTAGACTAGAGACTAGACTATAGACTAGACTATAGACTAGACTATAGACTAGACTATAGACTAGACTATAGACTAGACTATAGACTAGACTATAGACTAGACTATAGACTAGACTATAGACTAGACTATAGACTAGACTATAGACTAGACATAGACTAGACTATAGACTAGACTATAGACTAGACTATAGACTAGACTATAGACTAGACTATAGACTAGACTATAGACTAGACTATAGACTAGACTATAGACTAGACTATAGACTAGACTATAGACTAGACTATAGACTAGACTATAGACTAGACTATAGACTAGACTATAGACTAGACTATAGACTAGACTAGACTAGACTATAGACTAGAACTATGACTAGACTAGACTTACTATAGACTAGACTAGACTAGACTAGACTAGACTATAGACTAGACTATAGACTAGACTATAGACTAGACTATAGACTAGACTATAGACTAGACTAGACTATAGACTAGACTATAGACTAGACTAGACTATAGACTAGACTATAGACTAGACTATAGACTAGACTATAGACTAGACTATAGACTAGACTATAGACTAGACTATAGACTAGACTATAGACTAGACTATAGACTAGACTATAGACTAGACTATAGACTAGAATATAGACTAGACTATAGACTAGACTATAGACTAGACTATAGACTAGACTATAGACTAGACTAGACTATAGACTAGACTATAGACTAGACTATAGACTAGACTATAGACTAGACTATAGACTAGACTATAGACTAGACTATAGATTAGACTATAGACTAGACTATAGACTAGACTATAGACTAGACTATAGACTAGACTATAGACTAGACTATAGACTAGACTATAGACTAGACTATAGACTTCTTTAAGGAAATTTACTTAAAAATGTTAAATTAGCAATTAATTATTAAATTTCTAAAAAAAAAATAATAGAACTTATAAATTAACTAACAAAAATGATTTGTTTACTTACCAAACTCACAGGTAGAAATGTTAACAATAAAAAAATATAATCTAAAATTTAATATTAAATATAAAACCTGAAAATAAACAAAAGTAGAGAAACATTTAATTAATTAAAATTAAAACACAACTGCACAATTTGTAATTGTAATTATAATATTATAAAATATTTGCATATATTAAATGAAATGAAAAGAATAATGTAGATTAAATTATAAATTAAACAAACTTTCGCTTGCAACGAACGAAAAAATTGCTTTAAATTTCACACAAAAAATCAGCCTTGAAATATGCTAAAATAAACAAAAATTTCAAACACATGCATACGTATTTGGACCATGTTACGTTGACTTTTTGAATAACAGTCAAAATCAAATGTTAAGAATGCAAAAATTGCATTAATTATTAATTTTATTTTTTTGGCTTTAATACAGAAAGAATTGAATGAAATAAATGCAGGCTGAAATTGCTTAAAAAGTTCTATTGTGTCAAAAAAAAGTATTTTATTAGAAATAAATATTAATTGATATACTTTTTTTTAATTGGGTTCAAGTTCAATTTTATAATAAACAAAATATAATTATTAAGTAATTAGCAATTTTAAACAGTCTGCTGCGAAGTAAATTTGCAAGTTGTAAAGGAAATTTTTACAATTCTCAAATTAAAAATTGAACTTGTAACTGAATATAATTTTATAAAATTTTAAATGTAATTCTAAGAGGCACGTGGCCATTTTTTGTTATAAAATATCTTTATAACATGTCATGCAATTGCTAATGAATAATTTTGCTAATAAAATTTTTTTCATGGCTTATCGCAAATTCAATAAAATTTTAGAATATTAATATCTCTATTTGAACATGCTGATGCTTGGTTTACACTTGTGCTTATTTACATTTTTTACTCAATTCATTTAATACTCAATTCTTTATGTGTTCTTTAAACAAATAGTTTTGGTTACATCATACGGTGACACCTCGATAAAGAGGACATCGATAAAAAACAACAGATTATAGTAATACAAGAATTGCCAAATTGTTTCTGTAGTCTAGTCTATAGTCTAGTCTATAGTCTAGTCTATAGCCAAGTCTATAGTCTAGTCTATAGTCTAGTCTATAGTCTTGTCTATAGTCTAGTCTATAGTCTAGTCTATAGTCCAGTCTATAGTCTAGTCTATAGTCTAGTCTATAGTCTAATCTATAGTCTAGTCTATAGTCTAGTCTATAGTCTAGTCTATAGTCTAGTCTATAGTCTAGTCTATAGTCTAGTCTATAGTTTAGTCTATAGTCTAGTCTATAGTCTAGTCTATAGTCTAGTCTATAGTCTAGTCTATAGTCTAGTCTATAGTCTAGTCTATAGTCTAGTCTATAGTCTAGTCTATAGTCTAGTCTATAGTCTAGTCTATAGTCTAGTCTATAGTCTAGTCTATAGTCTAGTCTATAGTCTAGTCTATAGTCTAGTCTATAGTCTAGTCTATAGTCTAGTCTATAGTCTAGTCTATAGTCTAGTCTATAGTCTAGTCTATAGTCTAGTCTATAGTCTAGTCTATAGTCTAGTCTATAGTCTAGTCTATAGTCTAGTCTATAGTCTAGTCTATAGTCTAGTCTATAGTCCTAGTCTATAGTCTAGTCTATAGTCTAGTCTATAGTCTAGTCTATAGTCTAGTCTATAGTCTAGTCTATAGTCTAGTCTATAGTCTAGTCTATAGTCTAGTCTATATCTAGTCTATAGTCTAGTCTATAGTCTAGTCTATAGTCTAGTCTATAGTCTAGTCTATAGTCTAGTCTATAGTCTAGTCTATAGTCTAGTCTATAGTCTAGTCTATAGTCTAGTCCTATAGTCTAGTCTATATCTAGTCTATAGTCTAGTCTATAGTCTAGTCTATAGTCTAGTCTATAGTCTAGTCTATAGTCTAGTCTATAGTCTAGTCTATAGTCTAGTCTATAGTCTAGTCTATAGTCTAGTCTATAGTCCTAGTCTAGCTAGTCTATAGTCTAGTCTATAGTCTAGTCTATAGTCTAGTCTATAGTCTAGTCTATAGTCTAGTCTATAGTCTATCTATAGTCTGTCTAGTCTATAGTCTAGTCTATAGTCTAGTCTAGTCTATAGTCTAGTCTAGTCTATAGTCTAGTCTATAGTCTAGTCTATAGTCTAGTCTATAGTCTAGTCTATAGTCTAGTCTATAGTCTAGTCTATAGTCTAGTCTATAGTCTAGTCTAGTCTAGTCTATAGTCTAGTCTATAGTCTAGTCTATAGTCTAGTCTATAGTCTAGTCTATAGTCTAGTCTATAGTCTAGTCTATAGTCTAGTCTATAGTCTAGTCTATAGTCTAGTCTATAGTCTAGTCTATAGTCTAGTCTATAGTCTATCTAGTCTATAGTCTAGTCTATAGTCTAGTCTATAGTCTAGTCTATAGTCTAGTCTATAGTCTAGTCTATAGTCTAGTCTATAGTCTAGTCTATAGTCTATAGTCTAGTCTATAGTCTAGTCTATAGTCTAGTCTATAGTCTAGTCTATAGTCTAGTCTATAGTCTAGTCTATAGTCTAGTCTATAGTCTAGTCTATAGTCTAGTCTATAGTCTAGTCTATAGTCTAGTCTATAGTCTAGTCTATAGTCTAGTCTATAGTCTAGTCTATAGTCTAGTCTATAGTCTAGTCTATAGTCTAGTCTATAGTCTAGTCTATAGTCTAGTCTATAGTCTAGTCTATAGTCTAGTCTATAGTCTAGTCTATAGTCTAGTCTATAGTCTAGTCTATAGTCTAGTCTATAGTCTAGTCTATAGTCTAGTCTAGTCTATAGTCTAGTCTAGTCTATAGTCTAGTCTAGTCTATAGTCTAGTCTATAGTCTAGTCTATAGTCTAGTCTATAGTCTAGTCTATAGTCTAGTCTATAGTCTAGTCTAGTCTATAGTCTAGTCTAGTCTATAGTCTAGTCTATAGTCTAGTCTATAGTCTAGTCTATAGTCTAGTCTATAGTCTAGTCTATAGTCTAGTCTATAGTCTAGTCTATAGTCTAGTCTATAGTCTAGTCTATAGTCTAGTCTATAGTCTAGTCTATAGTCTAGTCTAGTCTATAGTCTAGTCTATAGTCTAGTCTATAGTCTAGTCTATAGTCTAGTCTATAGTCTAGTCTATAGTCTAGTCTATAGTCTAGTCTATAGTCTAGTCTATAGTCTAGTCTATAGTCTAGGGTATAGTCTAGTCTATAGTCTAGTCTATAGTCTAGTCTATAGTTTAGTCTATAGTCTAGTCTATAGTATAGTGTATAGTCTAGTCTGTATTCTAGTCTATATTCTAGTGTATAGTCTAGTCTGTATTCTAGTCTATATTCTAGTGTATAGTCTAGTCACGTTCTTACCCCCCAAAAATATTCAAAAATTTTATGGGTTCAGTCGTTTAGGCTTTGGATGATCAATCAGTCCGTAATTTCATTTTCGAAATAATTTTACAACTCGCTTATAAGTAAGGAGGTAGATAAGAACTTATTACGATCGCTTGCAAATAAGGTGTTAAGTAAGTAGTTTTGTTTTTGCTTAAAGCAAGTATATTTTGGATTCATTTTAGCCGGATATAATAATGCAAAGTGATATTCATTCCCAATCACAAACGAAAATTTTACCTTGTTGAGACACACAAACTTCATGTTTACATTTTGAAACAATAAATTTAGTTTTATTTTATATAAAATCGAGTAAAAGTAATCAAATAAATAATAGTAATCATTGTTTTATACGCTTTAAATATATTTATTTTATATGTATATGTAAAGAGTTTGAAACAAAATTGATAAATGATTGTAATCAATATAAAAAAAAAGTAAAGTTGACATAATGACAACTCTGTTTAGAAAATTTACATATATATGTATTTCCTAAATTAAATTTTTACACCTACACTATAGGAAGCTTTTGAAATTAAAATATCATTAAAATACTTCCCTTTTATTTTGAAATAAATTCAAAAACTGCTAAAATAAATCATATTGATGACACTCCCACCTTTCAATTGACCAAGTTTAAAATGTTTAAAATATGTCTGGTGAAACTCAGACAAAAAAATATTGTTTATTTTCCTCATTTCATCAGTTGGACAGTTTTTTTTCACATAATTTCCAATGGAAATTTAATAAATAAACGTGTTTCCTGAGCCACTGACTTGTGAGAATTTAATTGAAAATTTATGGTTGTAAGTTTTTTAATCACGTTTTTTTGTGTTTTTTTATTAAAAAATACTATAAAATTCTTACATGACAGCACCACAACAGCAACAACAAATAATTTATAAATTTATAATTAGCCAACTCTTTATAAAGTAATTTTGTTAAAAAAATAAACATTCTATTAAACAATTATATATTTAAAATTTTCATAGCGGTAAATAATTTGTATTAAAAATGCCATAAACGTTTTTTTATGGAAGATCATAAAAACTGTTATTTTTTAAAAATTGAAAAAAAAAACAGTTACTTTTGATAATATTTTTAATACAATTTGTAAATGTTTAAAAAAAGTAGATAAAAATTTTATTATAAAAAAATGACCTTTAACTTTTAGTGTGTTAAAAAAAATTTAATTATTGTAATCAATTATACATTGATAACAGTTAGATATCAAGTTATTTCGATAACTTATAAGAATATTGCTTAAAATTTCAATGCGTGCTAGTTGCATTTTAATAATAAGTTTAAAAGTAAAAAAACCATGTAATTAGTTCATACTTTGTAATAGTGGAAAATTATCTCACTTTAACGTGTTACATTGTTTTAACATGATAAAGGTCATGGTTGATTTGTTGCACACTTCTAATCACTATTGTGAATGGACTTTATTTTGGTGAAAAACTATTGTGAATAAAGATTAAATTTTAGCTTTATATATTTGGGAACAATTTTAAAAATGTTCAAATTTACTACTTAAAAATTTCTAAATACATAATTTTAATATTTTTCCAATTTGAAAAATAGTTTTCAAATATTAATAATGCAAAATGCTATATTTGACATTGAATTTAAATTTTTTGCTGGATAGAGTAATACGTTTTAAAAATTTCCCAGCAATTAAAAATTGTCGGAATTTAAACTGATTATAAATTTATTAAAAATATGAATTACTATTTTTGGTCACTTGACTTGCGATAAGTCAAATGTTCTAATTTCCTCGTTGAAAAAAGCTGTCTGTTTTCTATCTAATCTTTGCACAATAAATACTTCAAGGTTTTTATGGCATTTGCAAGATATCGCTTCTATAAATCCACCTGTTTCAAAACTTTTAATCTATTTTTTAATTATAAATCGAGTTAAAAAATCATGACCTAACTTAATAAAGTGGATTAGCGCAGATTAAGAAAATATAAATTTACTGAATATTCAAAAATTCTTATAATTCATAGCAAAATCTGTAGAGTCAATAGAAAGGAACTAATGCTTCCAAAGTTGTCATTTTGAAGGGCAGGGCAGGGCACTAGACTACTATACCGTAGTCTATAGTATGGACTATGGCCAATAACTATGACGTAGTATATAGTCTGGACTCTAGCCAGTCTAGACTATGGCTACGACTACAGGCTGAATTATAGCCAAGTGTAATGTGTGGACAGTAGCTAAATCTAGTCTATATTTTAGTTTATAGTCTAGTATACAGTCTGGACTATAGCTATGACTACTGTCTGGACTATAGCCAAGTCTAGTCTATAGACTAGTCTATAGTCCAGTTTATAGTCTGGTCTATAGTCAAATCTATAGTTTAGTCTATAGATTAGTCTATAGACTAGTCTATAGTCTAGTCTATAGTCTAGTCTATAGTCTAGTCTATAGTCTAGTCTATAGTTTAGTCTATAGTCTAGTCTATAGTCTAGTCTTTAGTCGAGTCTATAGTCTAGTCTTTAGTCTAGTCTATAGTCTAGTCTATAGTCTAGTCTATTGTCTAGTCTATAGTCTAGTCTATAGTCTAGTCTATAGTCTAGTCTATAGTCTAGTCTATAGTCTAGTCTATAGTCTAGTCTATAGTCTAGTCTATAGTCTAGTCTATAGTCTAGTCTATAGTCTAGTCTATAGTCTAGTCTATAGTCTAGTCTATAGTCTAGTCTATAGTCTAGTCTATAGTAGTCTATAGTCTAGTCTATAGTCTAGTCTATAGTATAGTCTATAGTCTAGTCTATAGGTCAGTCTATAGTCTAGTCTATAGTCTAGTCTTAGTCTAGTCTATAGTCTAGTCTATAGTCTAGTCTATAGTCTAGTCTATAGTCTAGTCTATAGTCTAGTCTATAGTCTAGTCTATAGTCTAGTCTAGTCTAGTCTTAGTCTTATCGAGTCTTTAGTCTAGTCTATAGTCTAGTCTATAGTCTAGTCTTTAGTCCTAGTCTAGTCTAGTCTATAGTCTAGTCCTAGTCTAGTCTATAGTCTAGTCTATAGTCTAGTCTATAGTATAGTCTATAGTCTAGTCTATAGTCTAGTCTATAGTCTAGTCCTATAGTCTAGTCTATAGTCTAGTCTATAGTCTAGTCTATAGTCTAGTCTATAGTCTAGTCTATTGTCTAGTCTATAGTCTAGTCTATAGTCTAGTCTATAGTCTAGTCTATAGTCTAGCCTATAGTTTAGTCTATAGTCTAGTCTATAGTCTAGTCTATAGTCTAGTCTATAGTCTAGTCTATAGTCTAGTCTATAGTCTAGTCTATAGTCTAGTCTATAGTCTAGTCTATAGTCTAGTCTAGTCTATAGTCTAGTCTAGTCTAGTCTATAGTCTAGTCTAGTCTATAGTCTAGTCTAGTCTATAGTCTAGTCTAGTCTATAGTCTAGTCTATTCTATAGTCTAGTCTATAGTCTAGTCTATGGTCTAGTCTATAGTCTACTCTATAGTATAGTCATTAGTCTAGTCTATAGTATAGTCTATAGTATAGCCTATAGTATAGCCTATAGTCTAGTTTATAGTATAGTTTTAGTTTTTAGTATAGTATATAGTCTAGTCTTTAGTCCAGTCTTACTCTAGTCTTTAGTGTAGTCTTCACTCTAACTTATGGTCTAGTTTATAGTCAGGTATATAGTTTAGTCTATAGTCTAATCTAGAGTTTAGTCTATTGTCTAGTCTATAGTCGAGTCTAGATTATAGTCCTTTCTATAGTCTAGTCTTTAGTATAGTCTAGTCCAATTATTCCGATAGCTTTATTGTTATTTGGCGCGAACATTTTGAACTTTATTTAGTTTTTTTTTGTTTAATTTAAACCGGAAATTTATAAAATTGTTAACAAACATTTCACTTCATCGATTCACACAAGGCACTCACTCATAATTTAAAAATAGGTCAATTTCCATTATCCATTTTAAATTTTCCAACATAACAAAATCTATAAACATACAATTTAAAAAGGGAGCAAAAAATAACGTATTATTGTGACTAATGAAGTGCAAACTTAATTGAGTGTAAACTTCTAAATTTAGATCAATTGATTAATTTTCAAATGTTTTTACCAACATAAAAAAGTAATAAAACACACTATTTTTAGAAATAAGAAAAAAAATAACAATTATAAAATGCACTAATTACTTTTTGAAACATAATAAACCTTTTTTAATATTTAAATATATTTTCAAAATTATAATTGTTAGAAAGAAAAAAACTTAAAAAACACACACGCACCTGTTGTTAGTTACGAACACAAATATACAATAATCCAAAATCACAGTAATAAATTTATTTTATTTAATTTTATTTCTTGGCTTTAACAGCAACAAACCCTCCTTTTCAGCCAACAACCGGTGAATATTCACTATTAAATTGATTTGATTAAAAATTATTATTAATACAAAAAAAATACACACAGCAAAAGATGAACGACAACAACAACAACAACAAAAACGAACAACACATACACCAAAGTCAGACAGAGTTGCAAAACTATTTGAGACTTTTTTTTATTCGAATTTGATTATGATTTTATATTTTAGTATTTGGTAGTATAGTATGTATTGAATAAAATTATTATCTAATCTTTAGTTAAAACTGTGTGTGTGTGTGTATAAGGGTTTTTTGTTGTTTTTTATGTATATTTTATTTTACAAAAGACGTTTGTTTCAGCAAAAACAAATCAACAATTTATAAACAATTCACTGTATTTTAATGTTAACGCACACTTTTATAACGAATTTTAGTACTGTCTTTCAAACACATGCACAATGGGGTAGAAAAGAAAATATTTATAAAATTTATTAAGATTTTAATGACGATGATAAGTGACGCATACTTTAATATCAATCACTTCTTTTTCCCTTGTACGGTTGATGGGCTAAAATTGTTCTGCCGATTTGTCCACAATTATTTTGATAAGATACAAAATGAATGCGATCGTATGAGAACGTAAAATGTCAGACGAACGAACGACTCTGCTGATGGTCTCAAGTAAACATAATTTAAATGTGATTCATTTTTTATTTGGTTTTTTTGCAATGAACCAATAAAAACCGATAAAAAACTAGCACTTGGTAGATGTTTTTTGGCAAATAAAAAAATCACTTATTTTTTTTTTTTTTAAATACTATAATCACAAATTACTTTTAATTTTTTCGATTTGTCTTTAAAACACTTCCCGATAAACCATTGACTAATTGGTTATTATTTATTAAAACCTTGTTATCTCCTGCTGTTTACGAAATGTTAGTCACCACTTATCTGGCAGATTTGTAAAAATATTTTTAAACCATGCAGTTGAAAAATATTTTATTATTTCTTTTTTCCTGAAAATAAAGTTTGATAACGTTCGCCGTTGTTTTAATGCTTTAACCCGTAAAATAACCCGTGAGTGTTTTTCTGTAATAAAAAAAATATTTATAAAAATCGTAATTTTATATCTTGCTGTTCACAACCGTATACGTAAAAGTTTAAAATGCAACTAACTACTAAAGTTTTAATACAAAAAAGTTAAACTCAAATCACAGTCACTCATTCGACGCTTTACAACTACAACTACAACAACAACAATAGTAATAGCAACAACAATACAACAACATTATATTATGGTAAATAACTTTCTTTGCTTATGTTTGCTTTTTCTTCACACACCACAAAAACAACAACCAATCGAAAAAAATATATCTCATAATATGTATTTTAGTACAGTGGGGAACAAAAAGATAGAATTTTTTTTATTTTAAATTTTGTAAAAATTTTCAATACCAAAATTTTTTAAAAACAGTAATTTTGAATATTTTTCAATTTTATCAGATAATTTTCTTTAAAAGAAAATTTTAACACATATTTTCTATAAAACAAAATTTTATCACATAATTTTCTATAAAAGAAAATTATATTAATTTTTTCTAAAATACAGAATATTTTATAAAAATTTTCTAAAAAAAGGAAATTTCATTAAAAAATTTCTAAAAAAATAAAATTTCATAAAAATTTTTCTAAAAAAGAAAATTTCATTATAAATTTTCTAAAAAAAAAAAATTTTCTAAAAAGAGAATTTCATTAAAAATTTAAAAAAAGAATATCACAAATATTCCATAAAAGAAAATTTCATTAGAAATTTTCTATAAAAGAGAATTTTATCAAAAATTTTCTAAAAAATAAAAATTTGTTTAAAAATTTTCTAAAAAATAAAATTTCTTTAAAAATTTTCCATAAAAGAAAATTTTATTTAAAAAAATGTTCTATAAAAGAAAATTTCATTGAAAGTTTTCTATAAATGAAAAATTTCATTGAAAGTTTTCTATAATAGAAAATTTTATCCAAAATTTTCAAAAAAATAAAATTTCATTAAAAAATTTTTCTATAAAACTAAATTTTATCAAAAAAATTCTATAAAAGGAAATTTCAACGAAAAATTTCTATAAAAGAAAATTTCACCAAAAATTTTCTATAAAAGAAAATTTCATCAAAAATTTTCTATAAAACAAAAATTCATCAAAAATTTTTTTTAAAACAAAATTTCATTAAAAATTTTCTAAAAAAGAGAAAATTTCATTAAAAATTTTCTAAAAAAAATTTCATTAAAAATTTAAAAAAATTAAAATTTTATTAAACATTTAAAAAAAAAATCATTTTATTAAAAATTTTCAAAAAAAGAATAAAATTTTATTAAATATTTTCTAAAAAAAAAATAAATGTTATTAAAAATATTAAAAAAAAGAAAAGAAAAGAAAAATAAAACAAAATTTTATACAAAAATTTCTAAAAAGGAAACTTCAACGAAAAATTTCTATAAAAGGAAATTTCAACGAAAATTTTCTATAAAAGAAAATTTCCACAAAAATTTTCTATAAGAGAAAAATTCATCAAAAATTTGTTATAAAACAAAATTTCATTAAAAATTTTCTAAAAAAGAGAAAATTTCATTAAAAATTTTCTAAAAAGGAGAAAATTTCTTTAAAAATTTTCTAAAAAAAAGAAGAAAATTTCATTAACATTTTTCTAAAAAAAGAAAATTTCATTAAAAATTTAAAAAAATGAAAATTTCATTAAACATAAAAAAAAAAAGAAAATTTTATTAAAAATTTTCAAAAAAAGAATAAAACTTTATAAAAAAGATCAAAATTTTATTAAAAATTTTCTAAAAAATAAAAGAAAATTTCATAAAAATTTTTCAAAAAAAATTAAACTTTATTAAAAATATTTTAAAAAAGAAAATTTTTTTAAAAAATATCTATAAAAAGAAAATTTCACCAAAAAATTTTCTAAAAAAAAAGAAAATTTCATAAAAAAATATTTTAAAAAAGAAAATTTCATTAAAATTTTTTTAAAAAAAGAAAATTTCATTAAAAATTTAAAAAAATGAAAATTTCATTAAACATTAAAAAAAGAAGAAAATTTTATTAAAAATTTTCAAAAAAAGAATAAAATTTTATAAAAAAAGATGGAAACTTTATTAAAAATTTTCTAAAAAAAAAAAAAATTCATAAAAAATTTCCTAAAAAAATTTAATTTTATTAAAAGTATTTTAAAAAAGAAAATTTCATTAAAAAATATCTATAAAAAGAAAATTTCACAAAAAATTTTCTAAAAAAAAGAAAATTTCATAAAAAAATTTATTAAAAATGTTTTAAAAAAGAAAATTTCATTAAAAAATTTCTAAAAAAGAAAATTTTTTCATCAAAAATTTTCTATAAAAGAAAATTTCAGCAAAAAATTTCTATATAATACAAATTTCATTAACAAAGTTTTCATTAAAAGAAAATTTCATTAAAAAAGTTTTCCACAAAAGAAAATTACAAAATTAAATATTTTGAATTTAAAGTTTTTATTGTTTAACATTTGCTCTTTACTGTAAAAAATATCTTGTATATGTGTTTTTTTTAAGCAAAAACTGATGTAATAATTTTTATTTCAACTTCTGTTTTTTTCTGCGCTCTTTGATGTCGAGTTTTTTGTTTGTCCTCACATCTTTTGTAATATCTTCTATAATCGGGTAAGTTAGAAAGACAATAAAACAGATATTGAGTTAGTCAAAGGCGAATAAAACATTATTAACGGTTTCTTGTTTAAAAAAAAACGAAATGAAATCTTTGGCTCCATCAACAAAAACACAAAAAATGGTCCAACCAAACAACCGTCATCATCAACATCAACATCACAACCACCAGGCGAGCATACATTTTTATCAACTGTGCAACCATGAAGAAACCACTTTCGCTTTCATTCAGTTCAGTTTTGCCGATTTTTTTCACCACATTTTCAAAACGTTTTTTTTTAAGTCTTTCTTGCTTCTTCTTCTTCTTCTTACTTTTAATGTACGCACACACTGATAATGTAAGCCCTGGTTCAACATTTCATACAATTCTCTGTTACCAAAAGTCCAAAAGTCATTTGTCTGATATATTTATATGTATTTGTGGGTCTGTGTGTGTTATTTACCCATTTAAGTTTACTCGAACATTCCAAAAGAAAGAAGACAATAAGCCAAAAGCAAACCAAGTTAATAAAATTCATAATAATTATTACCATCAACAGCTTTGTACTACTCTACAACTGCCAGCCAACAGCCATGATCATCACCACTGACCAACTTAAATGTTTTTAATAAAAAGATGAGAGATGATGATGATCATGATAACGATGATGATGACGATAATATAAATTTTATAAAGATGTTTCATATATTTTAAATTTTAACAAACAACGTGCTTTTTTTTTAAATAAAAAGTTGTTGTAAAGTAGTTTTTATAGTTTTTGCAAAAACAAAGTAATTTATTCTTTCCTTAATGTAAGACAGTAGTAAAAATGGCGTATTTTGTAAAGGGTACTAACGTTGAAGGTGTAAACGTTAGTTGAATTTAAAGTTGTCAAAGTGACAGCTGTCAGTTTTTAATATTTCAATAATCAATAAACTTTATAAATTTTGTTTTAATTGTTAAATAAAAGTACCAATTTCAAACAAATTTGTAATCGTTACTTTTTGAAATTATCACATTAGTAATGTTTTAATAATTACAATTATCACCTCTTTTCCCACAACCCAGTTGCTATTTTTGTTTTGGGATTTACCACCGTATATTGCTTTTAAGTAAATTTTTGTATTTCCCACCAAATTGAAGTTCAATATAAACGTTTTATGTTTTTTATTTCTTATTTTTTTGCGTCTCTTTCTTTTTAGGAGTTTGTTGAGAAAAAATTCAGGTTTTATGTTGATTGTAATAACAACGAGAAGAAGAAGAAGAAATACTGATAAAAAACTATTACTACATTTTCCTTGTACATTAAAAATTTCGTAATAATGGATATTGGTATAATTTCGAATAAGAAGAAATAACAGGAACATGTAATTTTGTAACAGCTGTCACAAAATCTTTGGATTGAAATAATATGAGATCAATTAGGTTCGGATGGGTGGTAGCCAAAAAGGTGTACGAACTGAGAATACAATTAATCAACAATATATTAGTGTGATTAACCACCCAGCTGTTCTGAAATAGCTTAGACTTACTTAGCCACCGACTATCCAGCATTTTCCTATTAGGAAGTCAATCGTCACTTTATAGATTACTGAGAGGCAGTCAGATGCTTCAGATTTTTAAAAGTATCTACTCTCTAGATTACTTAGGGACTGTAAAGTGATGACTAATTCCGCTCTCGCTTAGAAAAGTGACGACTGTTTTCACTTTCGTTTGCAAAAATATATACGAAAGACTAATTAGAGCCAACAAGGTGGTTAGACATTAGTTGAAATGACTGGCATTTCCTGATGCATTGACTATTGTCGAACTGCTGGGCATTCATATAAATGTTGTTGTTAAGTTTTGACAAATTGTCATGTGTTTGGATTACTCCCAATTCATTGGTCATCGTTGATACTGATCAGTTATCGGCTAAAACCTCTCATATGAACTCTAATACTTTCTACTAGATTTGTCTAAGGACTATTATACGAATCAGACTTTGGACGATTATGTATTCCACAAACTAGCCTATTTTCTAATCTATAGAGTAGATTATTGTCTAGTCTTTAGACTATCCTATTGACTAGTTTATCGACAAGCCTACTGTAGACTTATCTATTACCCAGTCTGTAGGTTAGTTTATTGTCTAGTCCATGGCCTAATATATGTATATTCTAGTCTATCCTAGTCGTTATAATCGATAGAGATCTTTTTGTTTTCGACTTCCTGTTTCATTTTGATACAAATGAAAATTACTGGGTGCAACAAAACGAAAACCTTTGGTAAGTAAGAAAATATTATTTCCTTTGAATTTGCAGACCTCAATTGATTGATTCTTGAAAGACAACATTCAACACACTGTAAACGATATACTCCTTTAAATGCTGCAAAAAATATTAAAAATTAATCTGAAGGTTGCCTCAAATCACGACAATTACATGCCGGAAATCACATTCAATTATAAAAAGTCAATTCCCTATGCATGTTAAAGTTCTATAGGCACCTATCAAAAAGCCC